CAAGCCAGGACTGGTTTTCAAGCGGGGCACCCCTGAGAACTGTCTGTCCGGGGTGGGGGTCGGGTCCCTTTAAGCACAGCCCTCGGCTAGCCTGAGACAGCATCTCCACGCTCTAAGTCCTCATCTTATGCCCTGCCGGCACTGCTTCCAGCCACCTTTAAGCCCTGTTCAGGGTCCACTTAATGTGGACATGCTAGTTCGAATTAGCAAAACGCTAATTCGAACTAGTTTTTAGTTCTAGACGCGTTAATTCGAACTAAGCTAATTCGAACTAACTAATTCGAACTAAGTTCAAATTAGCGCTGTAGTGTAGACATACCCTGACTCACTCATTCATAAAGCCCTGGATTGCCTGATGCCCCTCCCCGCTGATTGAGGCTCAACCAATGAGCAGACGCTTCTAGATTTCAAACCCTGATTAGAAGCTCAAAGCTTCCACCTGCCAGCCACAGTACACACTCCATGGGGGGCGGGGAGGAAGAAGAAAAAAACCAAACAGCCAAACACAAGTTCAGCACACAGCAACACAAAGACAAACACACACACTACAGACAGACCACTTCCTGTATTAGCTTCCTCCTTTATCTGGAGAACTCCCTCTCCAAATTCCTTGTTAACAGCTCTTGTTTGCTGACAAACTGTTAGATCATGCAGTAATGAAAATGTAAATCTGATCTAAAAAAGGCAAAATATTTCAATCAGTTCTAAGCAACAGCTGAAATGAAATCCATATATTATGTATTATAATAGGTTGGTAGTAGTGTATAACATGCACTGCTGCTCTGTTCATTCCCTATGAAACAGGCCACTGTCCAAAGACAGGATACTGGGCTAGAAGGACCTAGTTTGTCTGGCACACTATGGCCATTTTCATGATTTTATGACATTTCAAAAGAGGATCATGGAAAAACAAATTCAAAACATCAATTTTGGCTATAAATTCATTTGAAGAATTGAATTGATTTTGGCTTACTCATGTTATTATTCTATTCAGCTCAAAAAAACTAAATGTATCTAATCACTGCGTGTTTTTCAATACTTGTTTTTCTAAAAACCTTGGTTTCTGCAAAATTCTTCTCTCTCACTTAAAGACTTTGATCCAGTGTTTGAGAAATTAACAACAGATTACACTTATGGATATAACTTCACTCTAAAATGGAAAGGCCAGAATGCACTATTTCCAGTACCCATCTGTCCGTGGTGATGTCAGACCAATGATGAAAAAGATGGATAGTCTCGTCTTCCGTGTTGATTGCGGGTAGCTGGCTTGCATCCTTGACAGATAAGTCAAATTTGCTGCTTAGTTGACGATTGATTGGTGTTGGGGTCGTTTGCGCTGAGGACGTTGTCTAAGGCGTTGATTGTCGAAGGGACGTGATTGCTCTCTGGAGAAATTGAAATCATATCTTCGTTGATAAGGAAAATAACGTCTACGTTTGAAGGAGGGAGGGTACAACCCAAGTGTACTTAGAGTGGCGCGTGAATCTTTCCCCGAGTGGAGGACTTCATCGGTGTTCGTCGCAATAAGCTTGAGCTTGTCCTTAACCTTGCTTTGCCTCTCCTTTGGGGCTCCTGCAGATGACAGCCATGATCATCTCCTCATGGCAATACCTGTGGCAGTAGCTCTAGCCGCTGTGTCAGCCACGTCCATGGCTATCTGCAGTGCTGTACTACATGATGCGTACCCTTCTTGGACTATTGCCTTCAAGAGTGGCTTCTTGTTGTCCAGGAAATAATGAAGTAACTCCGCTAATTTGGAATAATTATCAAAATTATGGTTTGATAGAGGGGCTGAATAATTTGCGATGCCCAGTAGAAGTGTGGCTGAGGAGTAGACCTTCCTACCAAAAATGCCCAATTTTTTATTGTCCTTGTCCAGAAGCGTATTTTTGACTGTGGCGCTTTAGCCCTACGTTGTG